GTAGTCTTGGAACCCATCCAGGAGTCGGTCTACCATCCGCTGGAAAGTAGCTGGGGCGTTTTTCATCCCAAATGGCATGACCTTAAACTGGTATAAGCCAAATGGGGTGACAAAGGCCGATTTCGGGATGGCCTCTGGGGCCAGGGGGATTTGCCAATACCCCTTACATAAGTCAATGGTAGTGAGGTATTGACCCCTGGCCATTCTGTCCAGTAGCTCATCTATCCGTGGCATAGGGTATGCATCGGACACCATTTTCTCGTTTAATCTCCGGTAGTCTACGCAGAAGCGGGTCGTACCGTCCCGCTTCGGTACGAGTACTACCGGAGAAGCCCAGGGACTATCTGAGGGCTCAATTACCCCCAGTTGGAGCATCTCATCGATCTCCTTGCGCATGTTTTCCCTTACCGCTTCGGGGATGCGGTAGGGGTCTGACGCATCGGTAATTGCCCTGGGGTCTCTACCCGGTGAGTGGCCAGAGGGGTGTACCCAGGTACGTTAGAGAACGTGTCTCGTTTCTCTTCCAACAGCTGCCGTACCTCGATGCGCTCCTGTGGGCTCAGCCGGTCTCCCAGTGTGACTTCCCCTAAATCCCCAGACATCTGCCCATCTTCCAGCAGATCTGGGAGTGGTAAGCTGTCAGACTCATCTGAATTGGGCGCGCATATGGCGGTTACCTCCTCGGAGCGTGCTTGGTAGGGCTTCATCATGTTCACATGGAGCATGCGTCGCCCTCCCGCCCCTGTACAGGAGCCAATTATATAGGTGGTGTCACATCTCTGTTCCACCACCCTATAAGGTCCCTGCCAGGCGGCCTGTAGCTTGTCATGTCGGACAGGCTTTAAAATCAGCACTTTCTGCCCGACCTGAAAGCTACGGTCCCTGGCTCCCCGATCATACCATGTGCGCTGGCGAGTCTGTGCCGCCTGAAGGTTTTCCCTTACCGTTCTGGTTAAGGCTTCCAGGCGGTCTCGGAGAGCCAACACATAAGGTATGATGGGGGTGCCATCTGCGCTCCGGTCTCCCTCCCAATGCTCTCTTATAAGATCTAAGGGGCCTCTGACCCTCCTCCCAAACAGCAGTTCAAACGGGGAGAACCCCGTGGATTCCTGCGGCACCTCCCGGTAAGCGAATAGGAGATGTGGCAGGAACCGCTCCCAGTCCTTATGGGTCTCTGCGAAGGTTCGGAGTATTTGTTTCAATGTGCCATTGAACCGTTCGCAGAGCCCATTAGTCTGGGGGTGGTAAGGGGCACTGATAATAGGCTTAATGCCACAGATCCTCCAGAGGTGTTGGGTGAATTCTGCGGTAAATTGGGTACCCTGATCCGAGATAATCTCCCTGGGTAATCCCAACCGGGAGAATATCTGCATGAGGGCATCCGCGACCGCTTCAGCCTGAATGTTGGTCAGAGCCACCGCCTCTGGATATCTGGTAGCATAGTCTACTACCGTTAAAATGTACCTTTTGCCTGACGGGCTGGCTTTCTTGAGGGGACCTACCAAGTCTACCGCTATTCTGCTAAACGGTTCCTCAATTATTGGCAATGGGTGTAGCTTCGCCTTCCTCCGGTCTCCCCTTTTCCCTACCCTCTGGCAGGTGTCGCAGGTGGTGCAATACCGGCGCACTTCCTGGCTGATCCCTGGCCAGAAGAAATTTTGGGTCAGTCGATACCTAGTACGGCTGACCCTAGGGGATGTCCCATAGCGGATATCGCAAGGCTATCCTGAGTAGCTCTGCTCGGTACCGCCAAGTGCACCACTAGCTGCCTCGGCTACTATTGGGTCTGAATTCTCAATCTGCTTGTCTGTCTCCCTGTACAAAAGCTGCTTGTCCCAGACAAATCTCTCCCCCTCGGAGGGATTCAAGTGTCACCTTGTCTCTGTATACCTGCAAGGTGGGGTCAGTGACTGCCCTCTAAGGCACTGCTAGAGGCCCAGGGGACACAGTCAAGGGAAGGGGAAGGGTCTCTTACCTGAACCTCCGGAAGTGTGTTGTAGTCCTGGGTGCGGGCCTGTTGACGGGTGACCACAGGATGAGCTTCTCCTGTGGTGGACGTCTGGGGCTCAAAAGCAGATGTGAGCCTCCCCAGATCGTTCCCCAATAAAACCTCCGCCGGTAACTGCGGC